ACTGAGCTTCGCACTGATGGGTTTATATATTCATTTCACATGATCGGATCACGCCAATACTCGGTTTCATATTTCAGTGATAAGCCACTGTGGTATGTATGGCCATTATGTTACTATGCAAATGATTTGACTTAGGTTCTCTATATTTTTGTGGGCCGATTGGTTCCAAAATTGTTACAAAGTTAGTGCAAAAGTATACGAATACCCGAACATCAAATAGGGTGGAAATCTAATTTTAGTTTGCTAGAATCCCGTATCGTAAAATAAGTCCAAATTAAACACCAAAGAGCTTTTCCTTCATCTTTTCTATCACTCGTCGTCGTAAGAGAAGATAATCCTCTTACCGCAAAATTCCTCCATCTTAGGTCTCTTCAGAATCGGTTCGGTCTCCATCTTAGGTTTCTTCAGAAGGTAGTCTTCTCGATACAAACTTCACCCAAATATGCTCTTAATAACAAAACTCAAGAAGTAAACAGTTAAATCCCTTACCAAACCATGTGATCTATGCAATACCTAATCAACACAAAAACAATAGCGTTAGTTAGTCTTCTGTTATGGCATCAAAACTCTAGCAATAAGTTACATAAACAAATCTGCATAACATGGAAAATCAACTTACTTGTTTGTAGGAGCTATCTCATTAGCCTTTTCAAGAACAATATCACGATTGTCCATGTATTCACCGTGCTTCGTTTGCAGTGCCTACAGTACAAAAAGATTTAATCACCAATCTTACTTTCAAATAACTACTTGTATATTTTTCATCACAAGTATAATACACTACTCTCACCTTCATTGCTTCGTTAGCAGAAGCAAACTCAACAAAGCCATAGCCCACATGCTCGACTTTGCTGTTTACAATAAGCCGAACATGAACAACTTCTCCAACACCTTCAAAGAAATCGATGCTGTAAAATATGAAGGATAAAATATTAGTAGTCATGGAAAACTTGTTCCAAGAAAGAAAGAGGAAATTAAAGGTGCTACTTTACTTACACATCTGATATTTCAGTTCCGAAAGGGAGATTGGCGATATAGAGCGTCGCTTCTCTTATAGGAACTGCCTGAATTTAACAGCCAAGTGTGTTAGCACGACTGAAATTGCATAAAAACAAAAAATAACCTAAAGATACATCCCCAAAATAGTCAATCTTCTGAGCCTGACATATTTTGAAGATAACAAGAACAAGTACCTCAACAAAATCGGGAGTTTCGTCAAGTCCTTCCACTGCCTCATCTTCTTCTATCAGAAGGCTTTCTCGTGGAAGGTAGTCTTCGTACCTGGAATATCAAAAACCCTGGTGATCTCTCCATGTATACCAAAAACTTCACTAATGTGCTCTTGATAACAAGACTCAATAGGCAAACAGTTGAATCCCTTACCAAAGCTTCTCTGCAAGTTTGAACCTAATTAACAAAAATAGCATTAACCTTCTAATGACATCAAAACTATAGCAATAAGTTAGAGAAACTATATGGAAAATCAATTTACTTGGGTTGGAGAGGGTATGGAGCTGTCTTAGTCACGTCAAGAAATATCTTACGATTGCGTTTACAATTCTTCTTTTCCAGCGCCTACAGTATAAAAGATTTAATCAGCAATCATACACTACTTTTCAAATGACTTCTAAAATACTTTTCATTATTACTATAAACTACTCTCACCTTCTCTGCTTCGTTAGCAGAAGCAAACTCAACAAAGCAACAACCCTCATGAAATTCCATGTCGTTTACAATAAGTCGAATATGAACAACTTCTCCAACATCTTTGAAAAAATGGATGCTGTAAAAATGGAGGATAGAAAATCAGTACTTGCTCTAAAAGACAAAAGAGGAAATTAAAGATACTACTTACATATTTGATATTTCAGTATTGTACGGGAGATTGGTAACAAAGAGCGTCCTTTTTCTTACGGAACCTGCCTGAATTTAACAACCAACTGTGTTAGCACGAATTTAATTGCATAACAACAAAAAGTAGCCTCATCTGAAGATTCATCCACAGAATAAGTCATTTTTTGACTTTGTGGCAACAGTTCTTTTATTAAAGGCCAAGCGTATATTCTGGGCCAGACATATTTTGAAGATAATAGGAACAGGTACCTCAACAAAATCGTGAGTTTCATCAAGTCCTTCCACTGCCTCATCTTCTTTTATCAGAAGGCCTTCTCGTCGAAGGTAGTCTTCGTACCTGGAATATCAAAAACTCTAGTGATCTCTCCATGTATACCAAAAACTTCACTCAATGTGCTCTTGCTAACAAACTCAAGATGTAAATAGTTAAATCCCTTACCAAACCTTGTGATCTACGCAATACCTAATTAAAAAAAATAAATAATAGTGTTAGTCTTCTGCAATTGGCATCAAAATTCTAGCAATAAGTTACATAAACAAATCTCCATAACATGGAAAACCAATTTACTTGGGTGGCGGAGCTATCTTGTTAGCCTTTTCAAGTTTAATCTTATGATCGTGCAAATATTCACCGTTCTTCTTTCGCAGCGCCTGCAGTATAAAAGACTTAATCACCAATCGTACTTTCAAATGACTACTAATATACTTTTCATCATTACTATAAAATACTCTCACCTTCTTTGCTTCCTTAGCAGAAGCAAACTCAACAAAGCCAAAGCCGGCATACTTGCCCTTGGAGGTTAACAAACGTCGAACATGAACAACTTCTCCAACATCTTTAAAGAAATTGATTCTGTAAAAATGGAGGATAAAATATCAGTCAAGAAAATCTAAATCCAACGAACGAAAGAGGAAACTAAAGGTGCTACTTACATATCTGATATTTCCATTTCGCAAGGGAGATTCGCAACATAGAGCGTCTTTTTTCGTACGGCAACAACCTGAATTTTTTTAACAGCCAAGTGTGTTACATTGACTTAAATTGCATAAAAACAAAAAGTAGCCTCATCTAAAGTTATCTCCAGAATAAGTCGTCTTTCGACTTTGTGGCAACAGTTCTGACATTAAACGCTAAACATACTTCTGAGCCTGATATATTTTGAAGATAACAGGAACAGGTACCTCAACAAAATCAGGAGTTTCATCAAGTCCTTCCACTGTCTCATCTTCTTTTATCAGAAAGCTTTCTCGTCGAATGTAGTCTTCGTAACTGAAATAACAAAAACCCTAGTGATCTCTTCATGTATACCAAAAACTTCACCCAATGTGCTCTTGATAACAACATCAAGAGGCAAATAGTTACATCCTTACCAAAGCTTATCCGCAAGGTTGTACCTAATAAACAAAAATAATAGTGTTAGTCTTCAGTAATGGCATCGAAACTCCAACAATAAGTTACAACCAGAGTTACAGAAACGAATAACCATAACATGGGAAATCAATTTACTTGGGCCGTGGAGGGTATGGAGCTGTCTTAGCCACATCAAGAAAAATCTTATGATCGTGCAAATATTCCCCGTTCTTCGTTTGCAGTGCCTACAGAATTGTACTTTCATATAACTAGTTGTATAATTTTCATCATAAGTAAACACTACTTTTCAAATAACTAGTTAAATACTTTTTCCATCATTAATACAAAACTACTCTCACCTTCATTGCTTCCTTAGCAGAAGCAAACTCAACAAAGCCATAGCCCACATGTTTACCCTCTTGGTTTACAATAAGTCGAACACGAACAACTTCTCCAGCATCTTTGAAGAAATGGATGCTGTAAAAATGGAGGATATATATATGTCATGAAAAACTTGCTCCGAGAACGAAAGTGGAAATTTAAGGTGCTACTTACATATGTAATATTTCAGTTTAGGGAGAGAGATTGGCGACAAAGAGTACTTCCTGAATTTAACAGCCAATTGTGTTAGCAAAACTTTAAGGAGAAAAGGACATAAATTGTATAAGTAGCCTCATCTGAATATTCATCCCCAAAATAAGTCATCTTTTGACTTTGTGGTAACGCTTCTGTTATTAAACGTCAAGCGTCTCTTCTGAACCTAACATATTTTGAAGATAATAAGAACATTTACCTCAAGAGTTTCGTCAAGTCCTTCCACTGCCTCATCTTCTTCTATCAGAAGGCTTTCTCGCCCAATGTAGTCTTCTTCGTACCTGGAATACCAAAAACCCTTGTGATCTTCTCTCCATTCATACCAAAAACTTCACCCAATGTGCTTTTAATAACAAAACTCAAGAGGCAAACAGTTAAATCCCTTACCAAACCTTGTGATCTATGCAATACCTAATAAACACGTATAATAGCGTTAGTTTTCCGTAATGACATCAAAACTCTAGCAATAAGTTACGTAAGACATGTCTCCATAACATGAAAAATCAATTTACTTGGGTGGAGGAGCTATCTTAATAGTCTTTCGAAGAACAATCTTATGATCGTGCAAAAATTCACCGTTCTTCTTTTGCAGCGCCTACAGTATAAAAGACTTAATCACCAATCGTACTTTCGAATAACTACTTAAATAAATTCATTCCTAAGTATACACTACTTTTCAAATGACTAGTTAAATAGTACTTTTTTCATCATTACTACAAAACTAGTCTCACCTTCTTTGCTTGGTTAGAAGAAGCAAACTGAACAAAGCCATAGCCTGCATGCTTACCCTCGTGGTTTACAATAAATTGAACACGAACAACTTTTCCGACATTTTTGAAGAAATCAATGCTGGAAAAGTGGAGGATAAAACATCAGTCATGAAAAATATCAGTCAGGAGAACGGAAGTGGAAATTTAAAGGTGCCACTGCTACTTACATATGTAATATTTCAGTTTGAGGAGAGAGATTGACAACAAGGAGTACCTCCTGAATTTAACAGCCAATTGTGTTAACATGACTCGTAAGGCGAAAAATGAGTCATCTTTCTGACTTTGTTGCAACAAACTAAACGCTAAGCATATTTTGAAGAGAAAAAAAGGTACCTCAAAACAATGGCGAGTTTGATCAAGTCCTTCCACTGTCTCCTATTACACGAGTAAGCATTTTTGGAGATAATAAGAACAAGATAACTTAATTTGAACATAATCTTGTACAATATATCTAACAAACAGTAGAATATCAGCAAATCCTCTAG